AGCAGGAGGTGGGACAGGTGCATTCTCATCTGGAATGTGGCCAAAGCAGTCCGGCAATTCAGGCAAAGGTGGCGTCTAAAATAGGGCTCAGGATGGAGTGAGAGCAAAGGTAGCTTGTGTCTCCTCATCATGTGTAACTCCTGATTACGTGTCCAGGGAGCCACAGAAACTAGGGGTGGGGCCAAGGCTGAAGCTCAGGTCTGCATACGCACCTTCTCCTAGGTTGTAGATGGGGGTGGGTATGGGGGGGATTCACGGAGGCCATGGTGAACTCTGTGTGAGTTCCCCGAAGAAAGAGCAGCTTCTACTCTGTGCACCAACCAACCTTCACTGCAGCTCTGCAAGCTTGGTCCTATTATTATTTCCATTTTACAGATGAGGGAACTGAGGCCTCAAGAGGTTTAGTAAATTGTTCTGGGTCCCAAAGCCAGGATGCAGGGGAACCCGGCCTGGAACATGGGCCTCTGGACCTTTCAAATCATAGCACCGCCCTGCCTCCACAAGTGGGAGAGGTCACTTTATCTCTTAATCTTAAATGATCTTCCAAGCAAGGGAGCAGGGCACAGTACAAGTTCTCTTTGTCTCGTCCTGTTCAGAAAGTATGTATGTCCTGGGGGCCTGGGTGGCTCAGTCGGTTAAGTGCCTGCCTTTGGCTCCTGCTTATGGTCATGGTCCCAGGGTCCTGGGATCGAGCCCAAGCCCCACAAGGGGCTCCCTGCTTGGCGGGGAGTCTGCTTCTCCCTCTACCCCTCCCCCCTGCTCATGCTCTCGCTCACTCTCTTACTTGCTCTCTCGCTCATAATAAAATCTTTAAAAAAAAAGAAAGAAAGAAAGAATCTAGGTCCTTGCTTCATGTGTTTTCCAAAGAAGAGGCTCCCAGGGCCTCATGGTGCAAACGGAGTTGTGAGGTCCCAGCCAGAGCCCTTGCCTGATCTGCGCATCTCACAGCGCTGCCACCCACCTGCCTCCCGCAACAGAAGGAGGTGGTTGAGGCGGCGGCAGCGGCAAATCTGTCCCCAATGCCACGCAGTCCCGTTTGGCTGTGATGAAACACTCACGGCATATGGCTGCAAAGCTACTATCCTGAGCGGACAGGAATGGGATTTTTCATGTGCCAGATTTCACTCCCTCTCTGAAACAATTCTTGTAGTAAACAGAGGTTTTCTGATCTTAAGATCTGGAGGATGGGAATTCCTTTACACCTTTTAAGTAAAACTATTCTCTTGCAGTGTTTCATTCTATTGATGGTGCAAATGTTTTTTAAAACATTTAAAAAACATTAAAGCTCTTTTGGGTTCCCTCCCTTCCCCCAAAAGCCAGGACAGGAAGAGGTCGGGCCACCACCAACTCTGTTCCGGCCCCAGACCCCCCCCCCCGGGAGGAGACCTCCATATGTCCGGTGGCTGTCATCCCTTGGCAAATGGGGTGGGGAAGAGGAAAGGCTTGCTGAGTGTGGGAGGCCACGGGGTGGAAGAGGCGAGGAAGGGCCAGGAAGCGAGTAGAATGTGACTTTTAGGAGGAGAATTATTTTGAACCACGTCTTGTGCACTGACAGCATAATGATCATTATTAGGACCTCAGATGTAACACGAAGCCTGCCCTCAAGTTAAATTTTCCCTTTCAGACAAGCGTGGCTTGTCAACCCACCATAGGATGGTTCTCCGCCAACTTCTTCCACACTGGCCGGGGTTGGGGCGGGGTGGGTTGTGTGGAATGTTCCAGCTGCGTTCTCACTCTTACCTTTCATTAAGGACTTCGCTTTTTTTAGTAAACAGCCACCATTTTTCTACTTCAGCGTTATGAAATACTTGTGTGCAAGGACCACAGCTGTTTTTGCAGCTTCCTACCCACACTGAGTTTCGGAGCTGCTATCTGGAGTCTTACCTCCCCACGGACGCTCCTGGCCACACTGTGACCTCCAATAGAGGGGCAGACTCAGGGCCTGAATTATGCCAGATTATTTTTTTGGCTTTCACAGTGTTTTAAAAATCAGTTTTCACGTCAAAATCCTGTTTGCGGGCTCCTCTTGAAAACTCAGAAAACCTAGCTGCAGTGGGCCACATTTCCCTGTGACACGTGGCTGAATAATAGTGGCTCCCTTTTTTTTTTTTAAAGATTTTATTTATTTATTTGAGAGAGAATGAGAGATAGAGAGAGCACGAGAGGGAAGAGGGTCAGAGGGAGAAGCAGACTCCCCGCTGAGCAGGGAGCCCAATGCGGGACTCGATCCCGGGACTCCAGGATCATGACCTGAGCCGAAGGCAGTCGCCCAACCAACTGAGCCACCCAGGCGCCCAATAGTGGCTCCCTTTGCGCAGAGTTTGTTCTCTGGTTTGCCAGAGTCCCCACCACTCCCCATCACCCCCCATCCACACCCTAAGAGAGAATAGTAAAAAGGCAGGTAGGAGATAGGAACTTCAGTCTTGACTCTACCACTTACTTTCTGTGGCTCCTGGAGCAGGTGTCTGCATCTCTCTGAAGCCTGCTTTTAATCCCTATGAAGAGGAGAATAAGGCACTCACTGAGACTTTGCCAGGTTTGTTTATTGGTGTATAAACTTCCTGTCAATAACAGAGGCAGCTGGAAGATGTACACAAATGGACACACTATTGCAAATGTAAGCTTCATCTAAGGAAGGATTTTCTAAATCTGTTTTGTTTATTCCTACTTCCCCAAAGTTTAGGAGAGTCCCTGGCACATGGCAGGCGTGTAGCAAATGTATTGCATGAATATGTGGATTTAATGTTGCCCTGAGTTCTTATGCTTCATATGTCATATGCTGAATTATTATTATCGGTCCATTTTATAAATATAAATGCAAGTGGACATAACGGTTGAGTATTTCAGGGCTATTCTTCAGAGCTGTTGATGGGAATTTCATGGCCGTACTCCACTGAGTCATTGCCTAAGAGAAAAATGTGTTTTCCTCCAGGACTGGGATCCTTAGATCATTATCTGAATACCAGGCCACTTGAGGAATCAGAGCTTCAAAAAGTCACAATTAAAAACGCAGGCATTTATGTGATGCTTCTTGAGAACTCAAGGTGTGCTGTACAAACATTTAAAGCATTAAGTGCTCCCTGAAGCACTTTCCTCAGAAGTAACGCTTCCAGAGAGGAAAGTGCATTTAGGTAAAACCAATGGCAGGTTTTATGCCAGATCTCAACAAGGCTCAACCTCTGAATGCTGAAATTTGCTCCCCATTGGATGCAGCTTTCCTGGAAATACAGGAGAAGATAGATTGACTCCCAACTTGATTCAATGTTAGCCTATTGGACTGTTGTATTACTTGTGCCATAGGCTTGTGGTTTGGGTATCGGTGGCCTAAAGGGGTCAGCTGTGTTTTTTGTTTGCTTGGCATCGTTTCCTACTTATGGTAACTAAACTTCAGCTTTCCTAGGGAAGCCATTCCTTGCACACTTTCAACTGTAGGGTTTGGTGGTGCCTCACCTCACCCCCAGCTCCAGAGGAAAGCATGGAAGTAGCTAAGGTATCACATCTCATGGCTCCAGCCACACATCCAGAAAAAAGCAAGTTACCCAAAGCCAAGGCAAACACTAAGACCTGGAGCTTTTCTTAAGACTGTTGGGAAAGAGAATGCCTTTTGTTTGCTGGGACTTTCTGCTGTGAGAATGTAATTCTGACACTTCCAGAAGCACTACTTGAGATGCAGAGAAAAGAGAGCTGAGCCAGAGAAAGCAAAAGAGGAGAGTCCTGGTGACAGTGTTTGAGTGACTGGATCCAGCCACGCCTGAAACTCACCTTTGAATTTTTGGTTTCATGAGCCAATAAATAAAATCTCTCTCCTTCTTTCTTAAGCCAATTTGAATAGCGTTTTAGTCAATTGCGATGGAGACGTTCGTAACTAGCAAATTAGAATTTAAAAATGTAGATCAGAAAAAGAGGCACAAAACTGTGAGATCCATTGCTCAGATAAAAACCAAAACCTTGAACCATGGCCAGAAGCAAACTGATGAGTTCGCCTCTTTTCCTTGACCTGGACCTCAAATTCCATTAGACTCTGGCAGAGCAGTGAGCTAAGAAAGAGAATAAGAAGAACAATTGTTTGTTTCATTTCTTTAATACCCTGACACAAAACAAGAATCCAGTCATTCTCTAATGGAGTTGGTGCTTGCGTTGGCCACATTCATTGGCTTTGTTTCACATGTGTTCATTTGCCTGCTTCCATAAATAGAAGATACTGAAATAAGCCAGAGGCCAGGTCTTAGTGGACCTCTCCAGTGCTTTAAAACTCTCTGGACTTGGGGCACCTGGGTGGCTCAGTCGGTTAAGCATCTGCTTTCGGCTCAGGTCATGATCCCAGCGAGCCCCGCATCCCGCATCGTTCTCCTTGCTCAGTAGGGAGCCTGCTTCTTCCGCTCCCTCTACCTGCCGCTCCCCCTGCTTGTGCTCTCTCTTTCTGTGTCAAATAAATAAAATCTTAAAAAAACAAAACAAAACAAAACTCTTTGGACTTGACCTAGAGGAGTTCCACTAGTGTTTGCCATTGAGCCAGGGAGTTCCAGAAAGATGTCCAACTTACACAGCATCTAGAGGAGTCCGTTTCATAGAGTTACTGAGTGCTTCTGTGCCAGACTCCAACTTCCACACAGCTATGAGCAAGTGATGGCAGGCTTTCTCTTTTTGAGGGAGGCTTGTTTCCAGTCCCTGACTCTTTGGGGCTGCACCTTTGCTGTGACCCCCCCTCTTTTCCTTTTGGCCAGCCTAAACTCTGCTGCCCAGTGATTCTTTCCAAATACTGCCCCCTCCCACCGTTCTCATTTCCCATTCCCAGGAGCTTCACGGGTTCCCTGTAGGTTTCATATTGAATCTATACTCTTCTTAGCCTTTAATAAAACAAATGCCGAGACTAAAAGCTCACAGTTTGGAGCTTTACGGGGTGCTGGCACTATACTTAGGTTTCACATGCATTATCTCAGTTAATCCTCAAAACGATGCTATCAAGTAGATATTAATGCTGTCCCTATTTTTTTTTCCAGATGAGGAAACGAAGGCACAAAGACATCAAGTAACTTGCTCAAGTCACATGGCCAATAAGTGACGGAGTCCAAACGCAACCCTGTCACTCCAGCTCCAGACTCCATCTTCCTACCAGAAGGTTCTGCCATTTCCAGAGCTCTTCTACAACCTGCACGGTCTCTTATCTTGTTCCTCACAACTCTACAATTTCCGCAGTCCACCTAGACTGGTCTTAAGGTTATGCCTACTGTTCTCCGATTTTGTTGTCTTTGCTTATTTGTTTAGTCATTCACTCATTCACTCACTCAGAACATATATACCGAGAATGCTCTCTTTTCTCCCGCTTCTCCAAATCCTGCCTTTCCAGGCTCTGCTCCACACCCTTCCTTTCATGCATCCCACCTTAGCCAGTGTGGCATGGCCTCCCTTTCAGGAGTTCTGGGGACACAGAAGGGTATGACAACATCGTTGAGCATTCAATTTCACAGGGGCCTTACCAGGTCTCATGCTCTCTGGCTTTTCCACCAGGAGGCAGATGCCTGGAAGAGGAGTTAAGGGAGCACCTCTTCTTTTGTAGCCATCACAGTTTTGAGTGCACATTAGCCATCCAAGAAACATTCTTTCATCGAATTGTTGAGTGAACAAATGGGATCCAGTGAAAATACAATGGTTCTTAAAATGGCCTTGTGAAGGGGCGCCTGGCTGGCTCAGTGGATAGAGCATGTGACGCTTGATCTCAGGTTTGTGAGTTTAAGCCCCGTGTTGGGCGTAGAGCTTACTTCAAAAAAAAAAAAAAAAAGTGAGATTAAAATGGTCTTGTGAAAAATCGTGAATCTGGATTCTTCCTTTCAACAAGACTTCATGTAAAGTTTATGAGGTAGGTGTTATTATCCCTATTTTATAGATAAGATTGAAGCTCAGAGAAAGTGGGTAAGTTGGCCACATTCATAAAATGGATACATCTCAGAGCACAGAATACCCAGCCACTGCATCATGCTGTCTCTGCAGTCCTCAGATGCTTCTCATGAATTCACATATGTGGAAAATCCATTGCAGCTTCTCTGGCTAATGAACTTCTACAGAAAATATGCTTTGTCAGGGCCTTCTACACAGACATTTTTCTCTATTTCCAGGAATGGAAGGAAACTCACCGCCGTTGTGAAGAAACTTGGTGAAACTCCAGCAACTTCTACCACCTGCCCGCTGCTGAGTCATGGGCTAGAAAAGAACCACGTGGGATGTGCAACCTGGCCATGTCTCTCGGGTTCTTGGCTGCTGCCGGCAACATTCTCTGGGTTTGTACTCACATGAGAGCACTCCTTCACTATGGACTTGGAGGTGGATGTGGGAGTGGGAAATGTTCTTTTTCTCTTGCTAGTTATGCCCTCTCAATCCCAACCGGCTCAGTAAAAGGGGAGTGGGCAGGGACCATACCGAAAATATAACTCATCATCTCTTCTTCCCCAGCGCAGCCTCCATTTGTCCCAACTATCACGAGAAGCTTTCCTCCCTTTCAAGGCAGTTTATCCCTGCCTTATACCCCCTTCCTCACCTTGTCCAGCCCTCATTAGAACCTTAGAGGCATATGCTTGCCCTAAGGGCCTGGAAAATTTTCCTGCCAAAAAGTCTTAATGTCAGAGTATGGTCTCTGGTCTTCCTTCTTCTTTTTTTTTTTAAGATTTATTTATTTACTTGAGCTAGAGAGAGAATGAGAGAGCATGAGAAGGGGGAGGGTCCGAGGGAGAAGCAGACTCCCTGCTGAGCTGGGAGCCGGATGCGGGACTCGATCCCGGGACTCCAGGATCATGACCTGAGCCGAAGGCAGTCGCTTAACCAACTGAGCCACCCAGGCGCCCCTCTGGTCTTCCTTCTGCATCAGTGTTCTGTAAAGGGTGGATCTTGCCCCTGATGGTCCAAATATGGTTTTGGGCTGTGCGTGAGTGACCTTCATTCCTCAGAGGCTAAGAGGCAATGCTGTAGTGCCCTGCCAACCTTAGAAGGACACCATAACCCCTCAGCACCCCTTCCTGGGTCTCTCTTTATCTTGCCCTTCCTTTCAGGAACGTGTCCCCAAATCACTGCTGCTTCTCCTTTCTCTCCAATCCCTTCTCTGTCTCAGCTCCCAGCATGTTTCCCCTCCACCATATCCCTCCAACCTCATTCCAGCTCAATTCCTCCCCCACCCTCCCTGACCTCCACGTGGAGTTCCCCTCTTCAGATCTGCCATACAACCTTGGTCTCCCTGCCCCTGCCCTGCTCCCAGCATCTTCCTGCCCACTAATCTCTGCCCCTTGGGACCTTGGGTTCATGTTTTCAGTCTCTTCTATTAGTACAGCTAATACTTCCTGTCTGAAGCCATGATTCTTCTCTATCTTTCACAACTTTTTTTTTCTTTAAAGATTTTATTTATTTGAGAGAGAAAGTGTGTGCATGAGAGCAAAAGCAGGGGGAGCAGCAGGGGGAGAGGGAGAAGCAGACTCGGGGCTCGATCCCAGGACCTTGGGATCATGACCGGAGTGGAAGGCAGCTGCTCAACCAACTGAACCACCCAGGTACCCCTCACAACTGTCTTTTTTCCCATCTATATGTGTTTCTTTTAAAAATAAATGTTTAAAAGTAAAAAAGTATAACTTAAATAGTAAATAATAAACAGTACAGGTGGTACTTTGAAATGAGACACACTACCCATCATCCCCTGATCTTCAAAGATCATGTCTCAGTCAGCTAGGCATTGCCAATCAGCTGGGCAACGCCAAAAGGTGCTCACTGGAAACTGATTTTAAAATAATTTTTTTATCTCTTAAATAAAAAAATTCAATCGAGGAAATGTAAAGGTCTAATTGGCTTTAATAAATGATCCCTAAATCAGGCAGCATCCCATCTACCTCGTAGAGGGGAGTTGTACAAAATGGAAGGGTTTTTTGTTGTTGTTTTTTTTTTTAATCGGAGGGAGGTTGGAGCAAGGAAGTTATTAGCAAAAGAAAAGAAAGGATTTTGCGCTTAGGAGTAGAGTGGAGGGTTTCCTATAATGCAGATTACCCCACCTTACTTTGAAGGTTTAGAGAGCACCAAGTGACAGTTTGCCTCATTGGTGCTTATCAGGAAATTCCTGACTACATTTCTGGCAAAGGTTGGAACTGCAATTAGGTTGTGTTATTAAGCCTTGGTTTGGTGACTTGGCCAAAGTGACACCTGGCCAAAGTGACATCGTTTGGGGCCTATGGTTTTTCTTTTTGACAGGTCTAAAATCCCATAGTTTGAGAGGGAAGGACAATATATATGAAGCCTCCATAGCCGTGCAGGGAATAAGAGTAAAATTTTTTTTTTTAAAGGAAGGAAGGAGAAGCTTTATTTGTTTAAGATTTTATTTATTTATTTGACAGAGAAGGAGAGAGAGAGAGAGAGAGATCACAAGCAGGGAGAGCAGCAGGCAGAGGTA